CGAAACCAAGCACAGTGAGGGGCCGCTCCAGCTGATTCAGCCAGGGTGGCATGGCTGGCTGGTGCTGGGCAAGCACCCCTGCATGCTCTGCAATGTGCACTGCCGCTCAATGAGGCGGCCCTGCCGCTGTGGAGAACCCCCCTTCCTGGTCTCCCGCTGACGCCCTGAAGCGCTGATGGAAGAACTTCAGCCTCCTGCAGGCTAGTGTGTTTGGTCTGAATGATGGTGCCCGTGACCGTGACTGTGACTGGTGTGCTCTTGTAGAGTGGTGGTCCTGGCGCCCTTGGGTCCTGAATGTGAGCTCTGGAAGCAAGTAGTTCCCAGAAGGAGCAGGGCTCTGGGTTGGTTGGGGTTGGTGGGGTGGGTATGGGCCTTCACTTCTCAGAGCTGTGGAGGTTTGGATGTGCATGGAGGAGAGCCTCACGGGGAAATCATTTGCATAAGCCCATGGAATTTGAGGTGGAATGAGGGGATGAGGCCCCCCCCCCCCCAGCTCTGAGTGAACACCCGGGCCACAGCACAAGATCCTGATTCCCTGTGTGGCTCTTTCCAGAGCATCCCCACATGCTGTCTGGTTCACTCAGTGGATCAGACAATGGGTTGGCCCAGGGATGCCAATATAAGGCCCTGAGGCTGGCCTGCTGGAGCTGGAGGGAGATGTGTCCATGGCCATGTGGCCTTCTGAGACCTGACTCCCATGATGCTCCAGTGCATCTGCTCACCCACAGACTGTGGCAAAGACAGTGCCGTGCTCCTCTGCACGCCCTGTGCATTTTGGTCCAGGGGTCCGGAAGCAGGCCAGCGACACTTCTTCACAGGAAGGGTAGGGAAGGAGAGAGGAGGATCTGAGAAGGACTCAGGAGACGGCTGTGTCTCAGCCTGTGTGCTGTCCCCCACTCCTCAGCCAGTGTGGACGGCGTCACAGACTAGACGCTCAACTCTGTGTTGCCAAAGGAGCGAGATCATTGGCAGGGCTGGACCAGCCTCCAGGGTGAGATACCATCGGAGGTCCCTCCTGCTGAGACACGGTCCCACCCCCACTCCCATGGGCGTCAGAATGCCCCTATTGTTCTGGAAAACACAGTGCCCTGGATTCCTCCGAAAGGCCCATAGACTGGGATTGCTGAGGTACTGTGGGCTGCAGTGTGCTCCCTTCATTCCTGTGTTGAGGCCCTGACCGCCAACACTCCTGAAAGTGACTGTGGTGATGGGTCCTTTAAAGAGATGATAAGGTTAAAAAAAAATCATCTTCATTTAAGGTGAACTTATCCAATATGACGGTCGTCCTTATAGGAGGAATTTAGGACACAGGAAAAGAAGGAGGATGGCGGTGGGGGAGGGGTAGAAGGCCCTCTACACCCAGAGAGAGGCCTCAGAAGAACCAGTGACACCTTGACTTAGGACTTCCAGCCCCAGGACCCACTGTGAGAGAGTAGTCTCTTCTATTTATGCCCCAGCCCCTGGCACTTTGTGATGGCTGCCCCAGCAGACTGCCGACTGGGGGAGCCTGTTGTTGGGCCCATCAGCCCTTCCTGCCCTCTTCCACTGAGTCCTCTTTGAATGAGGAACGCGTTGAAAACAGGGTGATGATGGGCAGCCCGGGTGGCTCAGCGGTTTGGCGCTGCCTGCAGCCCAGGGCATGATCCTGGAGATCCGGGATGGAGTCCCATGTCAGGCCCCCTGCGTGGAGCCTGCTTCTCCCTCTGCCAGTGTCTCTGCCTCTCTCTCTGTCATGAATAAATAAATAAAATCTTAAAAAAAAAAAAAAGAAAAGAAAAAGAAAACAAGATGATGAAGGACATGCTGTGTCCTTGGCCTTTAAAGTGATGAATTTTGCTGGTACTTGTTCAGAGGTTACCCTGGGATTAATAGTACCAGGCCCCGGTGTGGAGGGAGAGCCCCCCAGGAGCGGCCCAGCATGCCGAGAGCCACAGCCGCACAGTTCAGTGGAGGACTCACTCGTGGCTGCCACTGGGGTCCTAGCCGAGTCTGTGGCTCCCATCTCAGGTCAGCACCTACAGGTGAGGGATGCAGGTTTGGAGCGTCCTCCTCGGGCAGCCAAAGGGAACTCACCCCGGGGATACCTCTAACATCTGTGGGTCGGTGTGGGGGCAGCACTAGCCACTCACTGTGCTGGCGGCAGTCCCCCCAGGTGCCCTGGGTTCACCTTGATGCCAGCAGACTGTGACCTCTTGGAGGGCAAGCAGATACCTGGGCTCCTCCCCCCTTGTCCTAGGGGCTGTGAGCTTCCACCTGCAGAGGGGGATGGAGAGAAGGAACCCTGGGAATGGGCCAGCCATTTCCCAGCCAGGCAATGACTGTGGGAGGCTGAGCAGCCCCCTAGACGGAGGCTGAGGGCTTAAACAGCCTGGGGAGGGCAACACCCAGTGCTCGCATGGATGCTCTGTTGAGAACCATGACTCTGCTGCCTACACAGTATGTGAGGTTTGCTTACAGCGACGGGAGGGCAAGCTGGGTGGTTGGATCCCAGGTGCAAAATTCGGTGCACAGCTGGCCTGTCCCACTGTCCATTGGGCACCATGGGAAGAGTGGCTGGGTGCACAAAGCCCTGGATGGTGGTGAGTCCCTCCCATGACTCGAAGTCCAGGTGCTGGGATGGGCCAGCCAGAAGGTGTGGGAAGGCTACGTGCACACAGGTGGCCACTCCCTACACTGGTGGGTGATGGAGTCTCTGTGCGGCTGTCAGGCCCATGCCGAAAGGACCCTGGCATCTTGCTCACTGCAGACTCTCCTGAGCCAAGAGCAAAATAGTTTTCACAGGCCGTCCGTTTCAATCCATTGCAGGAGGGCCAGGGCAGGGATGCTGACCTTGGGGTCAGCTACCACCAGTCACTGCTGTGTGAATCTGGGCCAGGTGAGCAGCATATTTCATGTCCGAAAGGAAGTCTGCATGTGAATTCTGGCTCCACCACAGATGAGCTGGTACTTTGAGTAAGTCTCTGACCCTCTTGGGTCCCCTATGGGGCGGCTGACCTCACTGTGCCCATGGACATTCAGATCATGACCCAAATAGTCATGTTGTTCTCTTACAGTCCTGGGCTGGCAGGTCAGGCCACTCAGTTTGAGAACTTTTCTCTGAATTTCCTGGTGGGATGGAAACTTGCCTCCCAACCTGGCTCCAGGCTTGGATGGAGAGGAAACTCACCTTTGTCAGCTTGGCCAAGACATCACACTCCTTGCTCTTCAGGGATAGGATCAAACCCATCTGGCCTGTCTGCTCACGGCCACGAGCTGCAAGGCTTCTCATTGCCGAGAGGCAGCCTGGGTGGCCAGTCGCCTGATGGAGGCCCGTGTGACTGTCTGAGAAGGAGTGCCTCGTGTCCTTGCGGAAAAGCTGGAACTCCTCCCTTAAATCTGTACTATTCCCTGGTAACCAAGCCACTGACCTATGTCAGCACCCCAAGTTGTGGAGGGAGGCTGGCCTTCCCACTGGTGGGGAGCACTCTAGGCGCCAGACAGTGCTGGGGGCTGTGGTCTCAGGAGTGTCAGGTGCAATGTCTCATTAAAAGGCATAAAAAAAGGACCAGCTCCAGCTTAGCCCCCCCCCACCCCTCATACATAAACACATGCACACAACACACACACACACACACACACACACACACACACACACACACACTTCCCCTGACCATATATATGATTAATGGAGGTTGGAAAAAAAAAAAAGGGAAAGAAAGTGTTGCTTTACTTAATGTATCTTGTGTATCTTGTACCTCTCCCCCCATCTTGTCCTCTCTGTGTACTGTCCACATCTGGAGGGGTGCACCTGGCAGATAGGAAGCTGACTGTGAAGTTGGGGGCAGCCACCTGCCACCTACCTCAGGAAGCAGCATGTAGCCATCCCAGCAAAGCTAACTCCCCCATCCTTGTTTCTAGAACGGTGGAGGTTAAGGGGATTTGGGGAGTCTCCCACCATTCTGGAGATGGAACTGCAGACCGGGGAGCTGGCCCCAGCCCTGTCCCAGCACCAGGGCAGGAGCTGTTTGCTCAAGGAGGTGGGGGTGGGACAGCTCTGGGGCTTCAAGTCCTTTCATCCACCTTCACCCCTTCTCTTTTTCAGAACCCCGGGCTAAAGCTCTCCCAGAAGGGAAGATTCCTGGGGTGGGGGTGGGGGGGCTGATGGGAAGGGCAGAGACCTCCCCAGGCCTGAAGAAGTAAAGGCAGGTGTCCATCAGGAGTCCCCAGGGCAGCAGGTCCTGACCCCTCGCTCCTTTGCCCGCTGTCACCTCCCCAAGGGGCATCTTCTCTGGTTTCCTTTCGTGGCAGAGGGGTCACCAGGACGTAGGCAGGAGCGAGGAGAGGGGTGGGGGTTGCAGGCCGGCTTCGCCTGATTAAGATCCCAGATGTGCAACCTCCAGGCTCACTGAGGGACCCTTGGGAAGTCAGACCCTAACTTGGGCTCCCACGCCCAATCTGTGGCGAGGGGGAAGGGGGGAAGGTGGAGGGCGGGTCCTCCGGGCGGGATGACAAGTCGGCCACAGTCTTGGGCGCCCCGATCTGGCTGGAGTGGAAATTCAGTCTCCACCCAGAAGAGGAGCTCGGAACTCCTCCACGTAAAAGAAAAAGTTGGGCTGCGCTGCAACTTTTTTTTTTTTTTTTTGTAACCCAAAGTGATCGAACTCGGGGCCCCTCCGGTGTGGCTCCGGGGAGAGGGCCGGGAGGGGGCACCGCGGCGGGAAGGGTCGGGGGCGCGGGTGGGCCGCAGGGCGCGTCGGCGCGCGCTCGCTGGGAGACGGAGGCCGCCCCCGCCCCCGCCCCCGCCCCCAGCCCCGCGTCGCCCCCGCGCCGCGCGGCCCCGGGCCGGCCCCTTCCTCGCCGCGACTCGCCCGCTGGCCCCACCCCCTCGCCCGCGGCGCCCAGTGGGAGGCGGGGGCGGCCCTGCCGAGCGCGGCGCCGGGCTCTGATTTGCTGCGGGCGCGGGGGATCGACAGCCGCGGCGGGTGCCGTCCCGGAGGGAGGGAGCGAGGGCGGGAGGGCAGGGGGAAAAAGCGCTCGGCGCCCGAGGCGAGGTCGGCACTCCCGTCCCCGCGGCTGGCGCAGGACCTCCCTCGAGCGGAGCGCCCACGGGGAGCGGGTCGCGGGGCGGCGGCGGCGGCCAGGAGGCGGCGAGAAGGAGTCGGAGGAGGCGACGAGGCGAGGAGGCGAGCGCGCGGGCCGAGCGGGGTCCCGGCCGCCCCGCGGACCAGAGTCGACCCCCGCCCGTGGGCGAGCGCGCCCGTCGGCCTCGGCCCGAGGGGGAACGCGGCGCCCGCTCCCCATGACTCCCTAGGGCGCGCGGTCCCGCCGAGTCCGCTCCCTCCCGGGCCGTGCCCCGCGCCCCTGCGTCCCCGCGCGCCCCGACCCGCGCCCCGCGGCATGGACGTCCACACCCGCTGGAAAGCGCGCAGCCCGCCGCGCCCGGGCGCCCCGCTGCTGTCCTCGCCGCCGCCGCCGCTGCTGCTGCTGCTGCTGCTGCTGCTGTGGGCGCCGCCTCCGAGCCGCGCAGGTAAGGCGCGGGGCGCGGGGCGCGGGGCGCGGGGGCGCCTGTCATCCCCGGCCTCCCGCGCCGTCCCCCGGGCTCGGGCCGCCGCGGGCCGCCCTCCGAGTGCGCGTCCTGGGCGCCGGGCAGCGGGACGCGCCGGCTGGGACCCCGCGGCCACGGGGCGTTGGGGCGCGGAGGGCCGTCCACGAGGCCGGCAAACTTTGTCCTGAAAGAGAGCTGCTCCCACATCACTCGCGCCGGGCAGCACCACTTCCTCTCCTGAAACCTGGGAAGGGTCGCCCCCTAGAGTCACAGCCCGTCAACTCCGGCCGGGCTCCTGGAGTCAGGGGACCGTGGTCCCTGGTAGGGGAGTCCCAGAAGCTTGAGCTCGAGCACCGCCCCCCCTCGGGGCTTGCACTGCCCGCCTCCAGGCTGGGTCTCTGCTTTCCTAGAGTCTTGCAATCCTGGCCGCGAGGTGCCGTGGGATACTCGGGATACCCAGGAGCCCTGCTCCTAATCCCACCCCAAAACCTCCTAACCCCTCCGGGAGGCAGTTTTTCTTGGGTTTGCCTTCCAGAGATGGGGGGCGTGGAGCAGAGCCAGGAGATGGTGGTGGAGGTCGGGCAGAGTGGCTCAGATGGTGCACAGATGGGGCATTCCTCCTGCCAGAGGTCTGACTTGGAAGGCGCCCTCTCCCTTGGGGAGGCTGGCGGCTGGCGACTCCCTCCAGCTCAGCCTTCTGACCGGACAGTGGATTCTGAGCATCACCTTGGTGGTTACCTGTGGGATGGGCCTTCACACATCAGAGGCCCCAGAAAACCCCCAGAGTCCCCATTAACAGGTGGGGAGGCAAGGCTCATAGCTGCTGCTGTGAGGTCAGGGAAAGTGGGGGGTACAGGGGTGGGGCAGTGGGCTCAGCTGGACCAGCTGGCCCTCCTGCTCCACCGCCCACCCCTTTCCCTCCGCCACTTTGTAATTTGAAGCCCTGTGGGAAGAGTCACTTTCTATGTTCCACTTGCCAGTTAAGATCCTCTCTCCCTTTCTCCTGGCATGCTGAGTGTGTGGTGGGCCAAAGGGGACGAGCAGGAGTCAGGGTGTCCAGCCAACAGGGGCCAGGGGAGACAAGGGGTGCCTAGCCTAGCTCTGGGAACCTGGCGCCCTATCCCCTTGCTGAGCTAACTGACTTGGCAATTCTCCCCGGGGATCAGTTGAAGGTGGAGGACAGTCGTGGTCTCCGGGAAGGTGGTCTGGATTCCACTGGGGGATGTGGTCAGGGGGCCCCACGGTGACCTTAGCCCCTTCCTGCTCCTCAGGTGGGCTTTCCCATGTGCCAGAGCACAGGAGGGAACCCTTCCGGGGAGCTTCCACCCCACGCAGCTGGGGCTGGGTGCTGGCTGGGGAGGGCGCCTTTGCCAGGTTTGCGCTGGCTCTGCCCCTGTGGTCCGGCCCCTGCCTGGATCCCCGCGTCCCCGAGGGCCGACGGCGGCTCCTTGGAAGCCGAATCGCGGCACAGGGGTCCAGGGCTTGCACCCTTGGCTTTGGTCAGACAGTGCGCAGCGTGTGAGCAGCCGCTGTTCTGAGCGGGTTCCCAGACGGGTCCCCACCTCCCAGGGTGGGAGCGGTTTTGAAGTCCCGGGCAGGGCAGCGCGCGGCCGGGCGGGCGGCTGCGCACCCCCGATGCGGGAGGCGGGCGGGAGCCTGTTCTCTCCATTTTGGGACGCGCCAGATGTTTTCCGAGTTTTCTCTGAACATGGCCCCTTTTTCCTACCTTCTCCTTGGCCAAGTGTGTGAAGGAATGAAAAGTAAGATTGCATTTGGGGCCGGTTAAGATTGTAACGGGCGGAGGGGAATATGTGAAATGAAACATGACCCCAATATTTGGAAATTGAGGTCATCTCCTCGGCCGGGCATTGGTCGACTCCGGTCACGTGACGGCTTCTCGCAATAATTTTGTGGGAAGAGTTGTCCAAGTTTTGTGGGACTTGACAGGTCTGAAATGGTTAACTTTCCTCTGACTCAATCGAGTTGGCTGGAAAGACACCCTTTCCATCCGTTCCCCTTCCCCTCCTCCCCAGAAGGGAGCAGTCAGTGGGAGGAGTTCGGGAGCCAGGCCTGCCCGCCCCCCAGGAGCCCTCTCCCCCATCTGGTCCACATTTCAGTGGCTGGAGGGGCGGGGGCTGCGGTCAGTGCCCCGCGGCCGTGACCACCCAGCAGTGGCCGCGGGCAGGAGAGCCTTCCGCTGTGACGCTGCTCCAGGGCTGTTTTGGGGTGCTGGCCACAGCCTGCCCGGTACCCCACCCTTCAGATATTTCTGGACCTCCCCGCGGCCCCGCCCTTAGCCCGGCACAGCTGATGCCCGCCCCGCCCCGCCCCTGCCCTCCGGCCGTCTGGCCCCGCCTCCTCCCCAACACAGACGCGCCGGGTGGAGCCCAGGGGGCGGGGAGCAGATGCCCCCTGCCCTCCCCCGCCCTCCCCCGCCCCCTACTTAATAGCAGGACAGCGGGAGGCCAGACTAGCTTGAGCCCCGAGGGTCAAGAATGAGTCACCCACACCGGGAGGCACCCACACGCTGGAGCCCTGGGCTTGCACTTAGGGAGCGGGGCGGGAGGGGGCGGGATCCCTCCCCGAGAGCTTTGCTCGCGGGCACCCTCGTGATGGATGCGCTGGCACCTGTCGCCCTGGGCCCCCAGCATCTCAAGGGACCCCTACCCGAGTCTGCGGGATAAGGGACCCCAGGTGCTGGGCCTTGAGTGCCCTTCTATCCGCTGCAGGCGAGGCTGCGCCTCAGCATTTCAGGCGTAGAGGGGAAGCGGGGATACCCCTTCACCTCCATTTACCAGCACTCCCCAGGGAGGCCTGTGCCCCAGCAGCAGGCTGGGGGTGGGGCGGTGGGGGGGGGCGTCCACCATCTGTGGCCCCAGGGTGAGCCACAGCGTTTCAGCCCCTCCTTCCTGCCCACCTCCCTCCACCCCTTCCTTCCTTCCTTCCTTCCTTCCTTCCTTCCTTCCTTCCTTCCTTCCTTCCTTCCTTCCTTCCTCTTTCCTCCCTTCCTTCCTTCCTTCCTTCCTTCCTTCCTTCCTTCCTTCCTTCCTTCCTTCCTTCCTTCCTTCCTCTTTCCCTTCTCCCTCCTCCCCCTTCCTCTCTCCCTCCCTGCACTCCTTCCTTCTTTCCTTCCTTCTTCCCCCCACCCCTTCCCTCCCTCCCTCCACCCCTCCTCCCTTTCCTCCCCTCTCCCCCCTCCTTCCTTTTTCACTGGAATGCCTTTGAGAGGGACCACATTGACTGCAGTCTCTACTCCTGTTCCATCTCTCCCTTTCACTCACCCTCAGGACCTGCCTGGACTCTGGAGGCCTGGCCTGGAGGATTATGGGAGGACAGAGGTGCAGGGGATGGGGTTCCTCACTGCAGGACCTCTAAGTCTTCTGGGAGGAGCACAGGGCTTTGTTTCACTGTTCATTTTTCTGCCAAGTATCTCTTTAAATAGTCTGGGGCCCCATTGGGAGATCTGGGGAAGCTTCCTGGAGGAGGTGATGCTAAACTTGATCTTCTCCGATCTTCTTCTCCGTTTTCTTGTTCCCCTTCCTTGGCAGGTGCCCTCATGCACCTCTGGCTTGGTTCTCACCCACCCCTCATTCTTGGCAGGACATCCCAAACTCTGCTGTGGTGTTTGGTGTTCTCTGGGGCTGCTTCCTTGGCTGGAAAGCCCCACGATAGCTCGGTTGGCAGGGCGCCCCCAGCTCTGCTTGTCGTGGGAGGGCTGTGCCAGCAGAAGTGGCTGCTGTGAGAAACATGGGGTCTCTGCAAGGGATGAATGGGGACCCGGGGGCTTCCTTAACCCTCTCTGCCCCTGCGGGTGAGGCTGCTGCTCCAGAGTAGTTGGATGAGTTCTGCAGACAGGCCATGGCTGGGGATGGGGGGCTCCTGTGCTGGGGAACAAGCAGTTAGGCGCAGGAGGGGGTATCTGGTGGCTGAACCCCAAGCGCAGCATTGATAGTTGGGGAGGGGCCTGTGCCAACTGTGTGTTTGCCTCTGAGACCCACTCGAGGTGGCTGGTCTGGGCCAGTCACCCTGCCTCATCTTTCCTGTCTTTTCCGGCTGGTTGTGTGGAATACCTGATGTAGACTGAGCCCCTGAGTCAGGAACGACATGATGTGGCTGCTCTTCTGGATGGTGTTTTTGCAAAAGGAATGGAGCACTGTGTTGCCACAGACCCCCTGTTGCCATCCCAGGAGCAGCACAGCAGAGGGACATGTGGCTGTCCCAGGAGGCACTAGGCACTAGTCCTTGGTCCTTGGACAGCCACACCTCTCCATCCTTCCCACAGGGCTCTCATCCCCAGGCTGGGTCCTCTCATCTCCACATCACTTCCTGGGCCATTTGCATAGGTCCCATGAGGCAGCATATGTGAACATGCTTGACAAGAGCCCCTTGGAGGGCTGGACACACGTGTATGTGTTTCTGGGTGTGTGTGTCCGAGTATGTGCACGTGTATGATGTGCAGATTTGCATGGACCGTGTGTCCGTATGTCATGTGTTGGTGTGTATGTTTGTGGGTGTATGTATGCATGTGTTTACGGGGTTTCCCGGTCCCTGGGGTGTCTGGGGAGCCTGGGGTAAGGTGACATTTCTGTCCTTACCATGGACCAGTGGGAGACACAGAGATGAACCGTGGCCAGGAGGTCTGCTGGGGACCCACGAGGCTGGGGGTCCTGTGGCAGGGCAGGTAGGGTCCTGCTGGGCCTGATCATTTGATGCAATGTTTTTACTCACATGAGGGCGATGTGATATTGTAGTTTCTCTTTCCCCCCTTATTTTGGCTCCCCCCATAGAAGCCACTCCTCTGTTGTCTGCACTCTGCCAAATGTTCCTTTTCAGGTTTCTGGCCTGGCTCAGCTTGTGGGGATCCTGAGGTCTGCAGGTGGAGCTAGCTTTGGCCCTTCTCACAGGCAGACCTGCCTCTGCTGTGGGCACAGCATGAGGACCAGGTGTGGGTGATGCTCAGGGCAGCCGGGCTGGAGGCACAC